AAAAAATCTTTGAAGATCTGGGTTTGTGGGATTTCTGTTCATTTTTTTCTCTCATTGTGCTTTACTCTTCTTCCTCGCAGTGTGTGTATATATATATATGTGTGTGTGTGCGCTTTATATAGAGAGAGAGCCACGAGTGTCGTGGTGTTTGTGAAAGAAGAAGTTCCAGTAAGAAAAAGGTAGTTTCCAAATTGAAGTACATGTTTCATGTATCACCCAATTGGCGGAAGTGGAAATTTTTTTTAACCCACCATGAATAATGTATCGAACAAAACTGAGATTTTCATCTATTTCTTTTATTTCGTTCATGACTATAACAGATAAAATAGTTCTCTGTGAATGCGTTCTAGCAACTGGAAGAGGGTTTGAAAATGGAGGGTTGGGTTGAGGGAAAGAAGATGACTAGTGAGAAAATGGCGTGTACATACACACAAATGTATATATATATCATATTTTATCTATTGATTGCAATAAGAGTTAATTTTGTCTTTTTAAAATTTTTGCCCTTCACGTGCTAGATATTCTGTTAAATTTCTAACTGTTACTTAACATTTGCAACAATTTAGATAATTTAGGGAATTAAGTGTCATTCTCATAGTTAAGAGGGTTTATTAGGAAAGAGAAGGAAGTTTAAGGGAGATTTAGTGCACTTTATCATTTTAATATATGTATTTGATATATTTTAGTAGTAAATGGAACAAAATAAAAAGGAGACTATTTGTATTATTTAATAAACAGGGTGGAGGTAAAGGTGGTTTCATTGAATATTGAGAGTTATTGAGAGTATGAATATTTTGAAGAGTTTATATTTAATTCAATGCATCTACGCTTATAATAGAGTAATGTTTTTAAAAGAACTCCTTTATGATGAAAATATAAGTATCCTCTATTTAACCACTAAATTGAGACATTATTATTTTTAAATAAAAAAAGCTTCATTGTGACGAAAATAACAAATGTGTTCTTTATTTAACCACTAGATTTAGATACATACATACACAGGGGCGGAGCCAGGAATTTGGTTCGGGGGGGGGCATGATAGCACTGACAAAATAATTTTTTTTCAAACATACCTAAAATATAATAGTGTAACAACAATGAAAGAAAAAATAAATAAGAAGAGAAAAAAGAAAAAGAAGGTTAATTGCACATAAATTATGCATGAGTGGAAGAAAAAATAAATTTTTAAGAAGAAAAAGGAATTTTTTAAGAAGAAAATGAAATAAAAAATATATATATGAGAGAATTTTAAAAGAAAAAATAGACTTTAATTGTAGAAAGAGAATATAAAATTTTTTGAAGACGACAAAAAGAAATTTGAAGAATAATAAGGAAAAGGAATAAAGAATTAAAGACATTTTAAGAAATAGATAATTTTATGGGAGATAATTTTATAAATTTTATGGGAGTGTTTTATAAATAATTCTAAATTATATGTATAAAATAAAATAAATTTAATGGATTTAGGGGCAGAGGGGCCATTTTATTAATTTTAAGGGGGCATTCTATCAATTTTTACAAATTTATGTATAAAAAAAATAAAAAATTCTATTGGGGCAGCATGGGCAGGGGGGGCAGCTGCCCCCCGGGCACATGCTGCCTCCGCCCTTGTACATACATACATACATATATATATTCTTAATATGTGAAAAGTCAAATTGGAGGAGGGCATTAGAATTTAGAGAGAGATGATGTTAATTTCTATTGAGTTTGGGGTTCTTTTAGTAATTACAAGTGAAGGGCACTTTATTTAATTTCATTTATTCATTATATATATATATATATTGGAAGAGTTTCGCTGTATATTAGCAACTTTACATGGTGAGTGTTTTAGGTGATTTTGGTCCACGAAGAAATTTGAAGAGTAGATGATAATCAGAGCCTCTGGAACCAACTTCTGCATGAAATTTGAGCAAGAAGGTCCTAAAAACAACATTACATCAATCAATTTATAGCTTCGATTAATCAACATATACACATAAGCAACCAAAATGAAAACAGGGCCTTTGATGTAACTAAATAATGGGAGTTGAGACCCAATGAATTCAACAAACTGACCAATTTCGAGATTAGGAACGAATGTACCTGCAAGAGTGGGAAACGTCAGAGTAGCAGAAATTTAAATTTTATATATGTATTTGAGATATTTTAACAATAAACTTAATAAAATAAAAATAGAACAATTCTCCGGTCCCTCTCTATTTATTAGCATTTGGCCATTTAAAATAAAACACTACCAAAATAATAATAATAACATTATATTAACTTGTACAGTTACCCGTTACAAGTTACAACTATAGCATGAACTATCCAAAATAATAATAATAATAAATAAGAATAATTATTACACCTAAAATATGAAAGCATACTTTAATCAATTGACTCTTTGCAAAGACATTCTTCAGGTTCTTCAATTAGTAAAGATATCCGCAAATTTTTTGAGAGATGATAGAGTGAGTACATTTTAGGGTAAACTTTGTATACGTATTACATCATCTTTGTGTATTATATAACCATATCGACTTGCAAATTACTCTTAATGATGGGTTTATGGGTCTCAGCCCCACCTGATTTCTTTTTCACGTAAATGTTAATAATGCATGTAATGTACAACTGATTAAGAGGAGAAAGTTGTATTTTACCTGCATGCATCGCCAAGAAAGAAGAAGTATGGATTAGGTAAAACCGAGACTTATGTCCCATTTACTTAAACAATTTGCAAGCAAAACTGCAGGCGTGTATACAAGTCGATAGGGAAAAAGAAACTGATGTCGCTTAGTGTAATGTCACTCGCGACCAACAATGTCATAGGTCCAATCCCTGCGACAATGTGGAACTTGACCAACTTGGCCCTCCTTTATGATAACAAACTTTTAGGACCGATTCTTCAATAAATTGGAATGTTGAAGTCTCTTGTCGGTCTCGATTTGTTCAAAAATAACTTCTCAGGTTCGATACCTGCTTTGATAAAGAACTTGGTCAACTTAACCATTTTGTATCTTGGTTACAACAAACTTTCCAGACCCATTCCTCGAGAAATTGAAATGTTGAGATCTCTTGTCAATCTCATATTGTTCGGTAACAACTTATCAGCTGCAATACCTATTTCGATAGGGAATTTACGCAACTTAATTGTGTTGTACCTTCACGAAAATCAACTCTCTCGATCCATTCCATCCACTATTGGGAACTTGACCAAGCTCTTTGACTTGAGTCTGTACAAAAATCTGTTATCATGCTCTATCCCATAAGAAATAGGAAGGAAGAAATTCCTACTTATCGTCAAATAAATTCACTGGATCTATACCTATAGAATTGAATAATCTTACCCATTTGCAAAACTTGCACTTGAGTGAGAACGAGCTTAACCACATAACATATGCCGTGGTGGATCACTTGCAAATTTCACTGCATTTGGCAACAATCTCACAAGTCTAATCCCTAGCAGCTTGAAGAATTGCACTAGCTTATTTAAAGTTAGGCTTGAAAGAAACCAACCTTCTGGAAATATATCAAATGATTTCGGCATATATCTAAACTTAAATTATATCGATTTGATTGATAATAAAATGTTCGTTGAGCTTTCTGGTAAATGGGACCAGTGTCATAATCTTACATGACTAAGAGTGTCCAACAACAATATTTCTGGTGAGATACCACCTGGATTGAGAAATGCAACTCAGTTACGTGTACTTAATATCTCTTTAAACTGTCTTATTGGGGAAATTTCAAAGCGTTTAGGAAGGTTAATCTCATTGATAAACCTTGACTTAAGAAACGACAGACTTTCAAGCAGACAAACTTTCAAGCAGCATTCCTTTGGAAATTGGTGGGCCATCAGACTTGGAATGTCTTAATTTGGCAGCAAATAATCTAAAGGGCTCAATTCTGAAACTATTTGGAGAGTGCGTGAAACTATTGTATTTGAATTTGAGCAGAAATATTCTTGCTGAAGGTATTCCTTTTCGCATAGGCAATTTACACTCTCTTGAAAACCTTGATGTCAGCCACAATTTACTAAAATGGAAAATACCAAACCCAAATTGGACAATCGGAGAAGTTGAAGCATTGAATCTCTCCCACAATAAGCTTTATGGATCCATTCCAATGACTGCGTGTAGATAATTTGCAACCACATCACTATTTGCAGACAATTGGGTTGGGATTCATTGCAAAAAGGGTAATGGAGCTTTTCTCCTATTATTCACGTGCAAACGAAGTGCACGAACGCCCTCAACATACGTGGTTATACCCTTCACATTCACGTTCCAAGTGTATAAACAACTCAATAGTTGAATGACACGTGTCAACTTTGTACACGTATTTCATGCCTTGTGAACCATATAACTATCAAAGTGTACATAAGTGAAAAACTAAATTTATTTTTAATGTGACCATCTTAGAGTTTGTCATCTATCACATTTTGGTTAACATGCTAACTCACTCTTCTAATGTTGCAAATGAGATTTTTATCAATATATTTTCATCATTTTCTTAATAAACGATTTGAATGCATTATAATTAATAACTAAAATTTAATCTCTAAAACTTTCTCCTAAATATTTTCATATTTACAAAGCTGTAGAAAATATATACCCTACTAACTTCTACCCCACCCTCTACTAGAATTCTCTGATCCTATCCACAGTACCAACTTCTACTCTACCCTGAATTCTCCTATCCTCTTTGTAATACTCCCATAATTTCTAACTCTAGAATTTAACTCCGGTGATAATAAGCTTTTTAGTGGCTCAATTCAATAAAAACTCATTTAAATTTCTTTATAACATCTTATTGGCTCAATTCAATAAAAACTCATTTAAATTTATATATAATTTTATTTTTTTTTATTTTATTTTTTTTTGTGGTTCAAGATTATCAAATAAATTTATGAGATAAAGATTTATTGATTTACCCTAATCCTTGCCTGCAAGTATTTTATTGTGCATACCAACACTATTATGAGACCAATTAATTACAATGCTTTGCAAATTGGTGTATAGATTTGAAACACTTCAATCTTAATTGAGAGAATCGAAGTAGACAATACAAATGTATTTGAGACAAACAAGGATTATGACAACAGCTGTATCATCGAGCAATGGCAAATAAGCACTTGACGATGTGGTATACATATTTATTGTTCTCCCTGTAAAACAATATCACTTCAAGCAAGTTTTGTGTAACCTCGATGAAGAAACTTGAACAGTAGATGATAATCAGAGCTTCTGAAACCAACTTCTGCCTGAAATTTGTGTATCGGCTGAGAAAAAGCTAGAAATGCTGAGGATCATTAGAGCCCGCGGAGCCAACTTATGCCTGACAAGCATAAAATGATAGCATCTGGTTAATGTTGGTAAACTTGTCACTCAGAAAACCATAATGAGAAGAGCAGCACAAAGACAAACTTTTTTACCCTAAACACTAATCAAACCCTAATCGAACCCTAATGAGAGGAGATGAAACCTAGTTCAGAGAAGATGAAAAGCGAGAGAGAGAGAGAGAGAGAGAGAGTATGTACATTCGGAATATATTATCGAGAATGGTAAACAAGGATAGAAATACCCAAGGGCAAATGGGTCTTTTAATATTCTGCCAAAAGTCCCAGAAAATATATAAAATAACAGGGACGTAAGTGCAAATTCACTTACTTTAACGACTTTCGTCTGTCAGCTTTAGTGTAACTTGGACTAACACAAGGAAAGTCCGTGTGATAAGGGCATGCCTCAGCGGACGTCAGTGGAACTTGGACTAACACAGGGAAAGTCCGTGTGATAAGGGCATGCCTCAGCAGACGTCAGTGTAATTTCCCTTGATCTCTTTTAATTACACAGATAAAAAAATCATTTCATATGACCATTAACAGTCAGTTGACAGAATGTTTAACGAGAAACCATTCCAACCTGATGATTTTGTACACGTGACTCAAGGTAAACCACTTGATGGAATGACTTTATTCGTAATATTTGATAGTTTAAGGGGTTTATTTATTTCATTAGGGAGTGTTTGCATATTTTGAATAGTTGAAGAATGTTTTCTGCAATTTACGGTTAATCTGCAAGCCAATTGATTGTGTGGGGATTGCATAGAGTAGTATGATAGCCCATGGGTTTTCTCCACCAAGTGAGAACTAAGTTGAGGTCGTCTCCCTACTATAGTGTTACAGTTTTCAAAAACCAGATAATTTAAAGTTGTTACTGCATAAAGAAAATGCAATCCGAATTGCTTACCGGAAAAAAGTCCTAAAAATAAATCAATCAGAATTTTTACCATCTCCTCTCAATTTCCCTTCTGCGGATGTGTTTCATAGGTCCTATACATAATAGATTAAGTAAAAGTTACCCAAACATCGACTTTCGACTGCTAATTGTATTGACATTATGGTAAAAAAGATTATTCTCCAAAAAATATAGTTCTGTGAAGTATTTACGGTTTAAGTGGAAAAACAATATTCATACACTCTCCCCGTCTTACTTTGTTTATTTTGATGCAAAATGACCAAATTGTCCAACAACCATTTACACCAGTACACAAATTCGTTCACATCGATGAATAACTTTATATTAACATTGGCAATGGGACATAATTACCAATAGGCCAGTGAGTACCAACTACGAAAAAATGGGAGATAATTTTATGCACAACTTTATTATAAAACAATTGCATTTATCTCCCTAAAGGGCCGTTGGTAACGCATGAACATCAGTACTATTAGGTGACCTCTACTCTCAGAACAGTCACTTTGTAAAAGCTAAAGGCGATCCCCTTCCTGAAATCCTGCTCTAGCAATATCAAGATGGGTTAGGTCTAACTTGAGTCTCCCTCTCCAAGACCCTGCTATAGCAGAACTAGGATTAGCTATGCCCCTTTGCATTTATCTCCCCAATTAAATGAATAAGTTAATACATGTTAATGGAATAGATGCATATCAATTGATTCAATTTTGATCCATCTGATCTAAATCCAATTGGATCACCTGGAATTTTTAATTAAATCCGATAATATGCTAGCAATCTCAAGTCCTATTATTTTAATAAATTAAAAAACCATATATAAGTTACGGTCAATTCAATCCAATCTAATATAATATATATAATGATATACATAAATTATTTATTGTAGGATTTGCTTGCTTCTAATAAAAAATTAATCAAATGGTTTCTATATGGTGTTCTCCCACACGAAAAATATAAAACCTCTCAACCATCCAAGGGTTCTTTTGTTTTTTTCTTATTTTTATTTTTCTCTTATTTTTCTAGCTACATATACTTTTTCTTCTAAACAAAGAGTCAAGGATTCAATTTTTTTTTCCCCATATTCTTAGTGTGTGTGTGTTTTTTTATTCCCATTCTTTCTAACTTCTTTTAATCAGTATAATTAAAATTCAATTAAAGAAGTAAAATAAAATCCTTCTGTGCGGCAAAATGACTAACTGAACCTTACTAGCTATTTCAAATTAACATTTCAACAATAATTATTTTACCCAAAATACCCTTCTATTTCTTATTTTCTCTCTCTGTTTACTCTTTTCTTTTTCAAAAACCTAATTCAACGTCACGCTATGTATATACAATTTACATTAATTATATTTATGTGATTGTATTAGTTCATCGACATACACACACACATATTAAACTATTCAAGAATATGAGTTTGGAGTAGTGGGGGATTTCGCAAAAATAAAATAAAATAAAATAAAAAAATAGTGGCAGTAGCCATAGCGGTTTTGGTGATGGAGAGAAGAGAGAAAGTACAGGCAAATAATAAAAGAAAAAAAGAAGAAGAAAAGAAAGGCTTTTCAATTCTCCCCTCTTGGTAAATGCACTGCTAGGAGGCAGAGCCCAATACTGGCCTCAGCATTTGCAATCTAAATAAAAGATTAGATACTCCAGTGCTCTATAGTCTATACTAATATGGAAGAGACGGACTCTTAGTGCAAGAATATATTTGATAATGACATTTAAAAGGATCAAAATGTCTATAAAAACCTAGCAAGATCACATTATGCAATGTAAAGAAATTAGGCAGAGGAAGAAAAAGCACTACTTCTTACCTCTATTTTTCTCCTTTTCTTCTTCACCTCATCTTTCTGCTTGCTGATCTCATCATCAACACGAAGCGGAACAAGGCTTCCAAAACACACGTGAACATCTGTGTGGCTTCCTAAACAAATATGAGTACCGAGAATCTCAATATTTTTTATTGTTTTCGTTTTTAAATCATACTCAAGAAGCCTTCCACAGTCCTCTACCACTAGTACTTCCCCACCGCTCTTTGAATAAGCCAAAGGCCTCATATATAAGAAAGACGGTTGTGCAACATAAATTAATCTAGTCCAAGATTCCTTAACTCCATACTCCATCATCACCCATATATCAACATCACAGGTCCTGACATGGTAGCTAACTATACAAAGGCATCCTCCTAGAACCTCCAGAAATATCTCACCATTCTTATCCAAATAATCCGGCTGTGGCATGAACCGAAATTCCTCAACTCCAAGATCAAAAGCAGCAATCAAGCTGCCCTCTGTTATTTGATACACAGCCCAGTGTAAAGCCCCACTAGCGAGCACAGCATTCACTCCCCATGTCCTGAAGGAATAAGGGAAATCTTGAATTCTTCGCCACGAATTCAACTTCAGACTGTAAACCTTAACTTCAGAACCAAGTGAGTCATAATATCTGTCATAATACTCTATTAACCTCACCACCTTGTAGTCATCGCTGACAGAATCGTATCCAAACCCGTAAATTATAAAATGATTAATGCTGCCACATTCAAGTGGGAACTCAATTGGTGTGATTGGTAACTTATGGTGTTTCCGGGTTGAAGGATTCCACAGGGTAATGTCTTTCTCTGAGTAACACAAACAGAGCAAGCCATCACAAGAACCAACTACTTCAAAACCTCCTCCATTCTTCAATGGGTGGACAAGCTCTACGGGATCATCATCGAGAGAGTCAAAGTCTATGGAGTGGAGCCCGCAATCTCTGAAAATGATGCTGCGATTGGTGTTGGTTTCGACGGATCGATTTAGATGCAATTTGATGAAATCTGGGCTGTCGATCAGAGCATGCCATGATTTCGATATGCATCTGAACCGTAAAAGGGGTTTCACCGGTAATCTTGATAGTATGTCGACGATTACATCCACAGGAAGTTCCGACATTTTTGGCTTCTCTGCAATGTAAATCATTTACAGCGCAAGTGTACATGCACAAAAACCAATCAGAAATACAGAATATATGGGATCTTACAGAAATATGAAAAAAAATAAAATAAATAAATTCCAAAATGCAGCCATTAGCATTAGTGTGCTGCAGGCTGCACCATACACAGCCATAAAATCAGTAATATATAGGACAAGAACAAAAATACAAGTATTACTACTTTCTTTGTCATGAGATATAAAAGATCAGAAGACTAGAAACCACACACGTCCACCAAATTAATAGCGGATGGACTAAAACTCTATGAGAGAGAAGGTCAAAAAAGCACTCTTCAAGAAAGCAAGCAGTTTTTCTTGTAGTATGCATTACAAAAATTTGGGATTCAATTAGATTTGGACGGGGCAAGATAGAAATTTATGAAATGATTCACGTTCAACAGGTGTTGTGTTGACATTCTCGTATCTGATTTAACAATATTTCCACGTCCAAGTTTTAGTTCTATAATAATAATAAGAAGAAGAAGAACAAGAACAAGAACAAGAACAACAACAACAACAAAAGTAACTCTCTTGTCAAATAATCTTATTTTTCCTCATTATTCATTTTATGTGACAACTGGGAACCACAACAAACTTGGGAACCATAGATTCTTTCTCAGAGTATCACATTTTTTAATGGAAGTACCATTTTATAAAAAATCAAAATACTTGAATTAACCTCCGAAACTAAGAAAAGGCAGACAGGGATCCACGCTATCCACTAGTGTCGCACTTCTTCTGAATAAGGACGGATAAAGATGAAAAGTACAACATATTTGAACAAAGAAACCCTCTAAGGCGGTTTTTGTTGGATGCAATCCAACTAAAAAACATACAGTTGCACCATAAAAGTTTCATAGGAAAAATAACTATTGAGCAATCAAATGTGAATCATTGCAGTATAGTGATCATGGTCACTATACTGCAATTACTTCCCAGTTTGATAGCTAAATTATAGTTTTTTCTTTCATTTAATGACACCAAAACACCCATCTATATGTTTTGTGTGGGTACTAAAATATGTTTGTACCAAATGTAACATCCAATCTTATTTGACAAAAAATAAATAATAAAAAATAAAAATACTAACATACAGTCTTCCATATCAACAGGATTTTTATCATTTCCTTCATTACATAATTCGACAATTAGGTTTTCTATTTTCCCTGATAAAAATGACATCTCTTTATCTTTGAAAAGCTTTACCCCACCCAAAAAAAAAAAAAAAAAAAAGGTAAAATTTTCACAATTCCATGTTTCCAACAAAGGAACACCTATTTTTTTAAATAATAATAATAAAAAAAATTACATCATATATACACAACCAAACCTAATTTAAATTGACAAAACTTGACCTAACTAGTTTGAGCAAATTCACATCAAATAGTAACTAGAAGGGGCCAAAAACACCAAAAACAACATTACATCATTCAACTTGTGAATTTCAGTCAATCAACATGAACATATAAGCAACCAAAATGAAAAGTAAGGCCATTAATGTAACTAAATAATAGGAGTTGAGACACAGTGAATTAAACAGAGATGGAACAATTTCGAGACTGGGAACGAATGTACCTGGAATTGGGTAGAGAACAAGCAAGCCAGGTTTGCTCAGCTAGATATCTGTCTTGTGACCTCGACTCGCCGTGTTTCATTGTTTTTTGGGTTTTAACGTTTTATAGTAATGTTTTTGGAGCACTGAAACGGTGCGATAATTTAAAGACGACGATTCCACGGCGCCCAATCGATTTTAAGGTGCGGTGCTCCAAAACTAGTACTATTACCAATATATTATGATAATACATTTAATGAATGAGCAGAAACAGGATATGAGGGGGGAAAAATCAAGAATAGTATATGTATGTATTTAATATATTTTAGTAATGAATTTAATGGACTAATATGTAGTCCAATGACATAACCTCCTCATCCAAAAAGAAAGACTTTCAAGTACAAATACAAGTCTAAGTGAAAAAAATGTGTCCTTATTTTTTTCCCTTCTTTTTTTGTTTTTTTGGATGTTTGATAATAACAAATCAGATATGAATTTAATAATAAATAATATGTTGAGTTATTGGGTCGGATCAATTCGTATATGATTCTTATTAAATTTGGGTCGGATCAGTGACGGACCCAGAAAATTTGGTGAGGGGGGGCGAATTTTTAATTTGTGGGTACAAAATTATATGATGGGTTTATTTTTGTAATTTTAGTAGGGTTTTTTTCATAAATTTTAAAAAAATTTAAGTATAAAATGAAAAAAAAAAAAATCAGTGGGGCAAATTATAATTATAGTGGGGCATCTTCATAAATTATCAAAATTTGAAGTATAAAATGCTAAAGAAAAAAAAGAATCCAGTGGGGGCGAATTGTAATTTTAGGGGGGGCATTTTCATAAATTTTAAAAATATTAGGGTATAAAATGAAAATATTTAAAATTCAGGGGGGGCATCTGCCCCCCCTAGTCCCCTGCTGGGTCCGTCCCTGGGTCGGATCGAGCCTAATTTAGTTTGAATTCTATTTAATTTTGACCTAGTTGTGTATATAACGGAACATATCAAAGTGGAAGACTTTTATCTAACTCGTCCCAATGAGACGAAGAATGTGAATATTATCTTGAGATGGGGTTTGTATTTTATTTATTGTGACCTATTTTATAATATTCAATATATATATATATATATATATATATAATATTCAATATGATCAGGCAAGTACAATACACTAGTGACAATGAGATTATAAGACTGAGAAATGAAATTGGAGGAGAGGGAGAGAGAGAGTGCTAATGTTAATTTCTCTAGGGTTTGTGGTTATTTTGGTAATTATAAATGAAGGGAAATTTTGTCACTACATTTATCTATATATATATATATATATATATTTACTTATTGTTTTGGAAGGGGTATATTTTGGTCCAAAAGTTTAGTGAGTGCAAAATTTCCTTGATTTTAAGATTTATTTTGATTGCCAATATTTTGCTAAATGAGCCAAATATGAGCATTCTTCATCATCAAATGGTTCATGGTCTATCAATTTTTGAGAGAATCAAAGTGGATAATACAATTGTATTTGAGATAAACAAGGGTTGTGACAACAGGCAATGTTGGATAACAATGTTGGATACATATTTATCGTTCTCATCTTATATTACACTATCACTTCAAGCATGCTTTGTGAATCCTCCATGAAGGAATGTAGAAAGTTGATGATCAGAACCTCTGGAACCAACTTCTGCCTGAAATTTGTGTAGCGACTGAGATGAGGCTCGAAACGTTGAAGATCATTAGAGCCTGCTGAACCAATTTATGCCTGACAAACACCAAATGATTGCATCCGGTTAATGTTGGTAAAGATGTAGCGCATAAAACCATAATGAGAAAAACAACACACTGAAAGGCCACAATGTACTAATGGAAATTCTCAATTGTGTTTTTAAAAATGATAAAATAAAAGAAGAAGAAGAAGAAGAAGAAGAAATTTTCACTTGTGAAGGTTGAAGTTTTATGGGACTGAAAGGCCATTTTTTTAAAGACAATGAGAAAAACGTTAACTCAAGGAAACAGTACAACCAGAGTCTAGAGCTCCAATCAACCTATGAGGCCAAACATCCCGAAGGCAATCACCCACTTTACAACCTAAATCCCACTTGCCCAGCTGGTGCGCACCTGAATTACATTATCTGCAAATCCACATTAGCTTGAGCTCGGAATTGTTATCAAGAAGAAAGTTGACACCCCCAAGCACAATAGCATCTAACTCTTCAGCAGCCCTCGGTCAGAGACTCACAGAACTGTTTGGCAATCTCTCTCTCCCTCCATATTTGAGTAATCCCGAGCACACCAGAGCTTAAGACCTTCATGCAAAATTAATGCCCCAGCATTGCCCAGAAACTTCCAAAAACTAGAAGCAGTTCTGAGAGCTCTTCCCATACAATCCCTCAAAACCATGCCCCCCACCCCACTCATGCGGAGCAACATTATAAGCAGCAGCAACATTCAGTTTAAACCAACCCCTGGAGGACCAGACAATCGAATTGAGTCGAAAGGATTTGTCAGCTGGAGAAGCATAGTGAGAATTCTGCAGCTGGACTACTCTAAATTCATAGAAATTAGCTAGTTCTCTCTCTCCATAAGAAAATGAGGACCCCATCTAACCTTGTAAACACCCACTCATCCCTCCCTATCAACAGCTGCCACCAGAAAATGCTCTAGTGAGTTGGCTTGGTTTAATTGTTCTAAATTACCTACTAGCTACTAGCTGTATTTTTCAAGATCACATCTTATTGGATATTCATATTACTAACTCGGAAGTCAATCGACCAGGAAAGTAATAATCTTCATCAAGAGACTTGCATGGCTTTGAAGAGGATCTTTGGGTTTGATTGCAAGTATTTTTATGTGGCTAAAAGGATGAAGAAGTATGAACCCCAAGGCTTTGCAAAAGGAGTGGTAAAGAAGAAACAGTATTGTGAGGTTTGAATAAGGCATATTTGACAATCACTTGTTAACAATGTATATCAGGTTCTTATATCATCACTCAAGCGTGACCTTCCTCACAGGTGAAGAGACAATCAGGAACAAAGTAAAAACAAATTTGATATATTAAGGAAACAAATGCAAATGGAGGGAGTCGAGAAATTTGAGTGCAAAACCTCCTAAAAGCTTAGATACCATATTAGAAAACAAATTTCCCAAAAAATTAGAGTTGTTAAGAAATTGAGCTAACAATATATATCAAACTCTCACAAATCAAGGAAGGGCAAACATCTGTTACGAAAATAGTAACTTTATTTATTTTTATTTTTATTTATTTATTGATAAAAAAGATTCATTAAGAAACAAGATACGAAAATATATCTGTTAATTTAATAATTCAAAGTACAATTCTACAATAGTGATAGATAACAGATAAGCAACATAAATATACAAGAGAAAAACAATATACCATTTAATCCAGCATCAATACATCAGCATCATTTCACCACTGCCCTTTCTTGTTCATGCACCTATATTCCTACCAAACATTTCAAATCATAAACTGAAATAACTGCTTATAGCATGAGCGGCACCAACAAGGCTAAAGAATACAGCAAGAATGCCACCATGTGTTACCTGCTGGAAATAGGCAGGCAAAACAAGAATAATTAAATCAGCACAAAGGGGACGGATATTATGATAGGCTAAGCTAGTTATAAAGGCTATGAACGAACTCCACTGTCAAATTGCAGCATGAAAGCACACATTGATAACTGATGCATGTTACACCTTGACAAATACTCTCATCACTATTACACTGCAATTATTACCATTACTAAACTCGATAGCGATTCAAACCATAATGTAGCAACCATATAATACCTCATAACATTGAGGTAAAGAGGATGATAGAACTAAATAAGTAATGTATTAAAAACTGCCAGCATTGTTTGCTAGATTTCCACTTATTTTACCTAAGGTACTGCCTGCTCCATCTTCAGGGTCTTGCATCCACATAGCAACCATAAGCCAATTCTGCATCACTATTCTCATGATCTTCAGAATTTCCCTTCCACATTTTGTTTTCTTTTACGCTTTCTCTTAAATGACTTGAGCATGGATTGGTGTTATATTTGAGCAGGTTCAGATTATTTTGGACCCACTTAGTATCAAAAGCACTTGGAAAATGAGATACTGACCATAATTCCTTGATAAGATATGTTTGTTATCATAAATTGGAGGCAAGTTAGACAATTTTAGGCTTTAAAAACTACCAAACACAAGCAAAATTGTCCAAGGCAAACACGAGGCAGTTTGATTGTAAATATAATATTTGCTTATAATAGTCTTTTGTTTTGCCACATTACCCAGATGGAGAAAACTCAACCTCAAACCAAATGAATCACTTAAAGAGACGTGGCGATGGTATCCAAAAGTTCTGAGATGTCTTTGGCATACCATGATGCTAGCTAAGGTTATACAGAATCATTTATTGATGATTACTTGAAGGGTATATTTCTTAGCAGAGAAGCCCTAGATCTTTGAAAAGTTCGGGGAGTTGAGAAGGGTGAAAGTTATAAAGGCAAAGAAAGTTTTACGGATGAACTATGGAGGGGAATACAACAGAATTTTCAAAAAAATTGTCAGCTAGCCTCTTTCATAAATTATAACAAAATCAAATTAAAAAAAAAAAAAAAAAAAGAAAGAAAAAAAAAAGACTTCAGCTAGATGAGAAAGAGCCATTTTAGGCATGTTTGAGATTATATGAAAGGAAAATTTAAATAATCATTAGCTGTGGATGCAGGGTCATTTGCTCTTCAGTTCTTTACCAATTATGGATCTGTACATGATTAATTCTGAATTTCTGAAGCAAATTCCTTTAAAATTTTCAACATGTATTAAGAAAGGCAGTAAATTTTATTTACAAAGGATATTATTAATTCTCTCATTGAAAATGTCACTTTCTTTGCACTGAGTTCAGCAATATATGAGCTTCAGATAGCTAGCCATTAGACATATGATTGTCATTTATTCTTATATTAACACTACTATTAAAGAAGTGCTTCCTAAATAATTGTTACAATGTAACCTAATATAGAAGAGATTTTTTCCCACAATGAAAAGCCATCAGGCAACAAATACTATGAACACTTCCAAGTAATAGAAACATAATTCATGTTATATTGACACTGTAAATAAAATCCAAGTTTCCACCGGAATTAAAGATTGCATGGCTATCGTGGTAAAAGCAAATAGAATTCAATTCTCACCACCACCAGATTCAGGAATGTGGTTACCATGGGGATGAAGTGGCCGATACCTCGAACGGAAGGGCCATAGAGAGGTCAACTGTCTCCACCTCAAGCACCGCCGGTTCCTCTCTGCCCCACCGCGAGAATCCTCAGTTGACGATTCTTCATCCGGAACGCCACTATTAAATGGAACCGGCAGCTCATGCCTGCAAACTGGACAAGTATTGTGTAGCCTCAACCAAGGAACGATACAATCAGAGTGATATATATGGTTGCAGGGCAACTCTCTCGCTTCCCCACCAACCTTAAACTCCTCCTTACAAACCGGACACTGTAAATCATCAACCAAATGAGATGGCATAATCTTTACAGTTGGCACAGCATTGATGGCAGCATCAGGGGCTGGGGGTGGACCTGGTCTGTCATTTTGAGTCAGTTGATCAATCAGCCCTTGTAGGCCTTGCCCGACAAAGTAATTCCTAGGCTCAACTCCTGGAGGCACCACATTTTCCGGTTGGGAATCCAATCCACCGGGGAGAGGTCCGACACGTCTGACAACTATCCAAGTCCGGGGACGGGCCAGAATGCCACTTTCAGGGCCCCAATCATCCCTTTCATCAAAAACACGATTCCGTCTCCACGGCCAATGAAAGCGTCGATTCCCAGTCCCTGAATTCCTATGATCTATTCCACCAAAGCCATGATTTCGTTCCTGAGGCACTCTAAGTCCCATATCTGGAGACCTATTACCTCTCCCATCAGAATCAGGTTCACGCCGCCCAATGAGAGGATCGAACATGAGAGAAAGTGCTTCTAGTATACGGGCTTCTGGGGAGGGATCGAATTCGGAGAAATCGACAATCGCTCTGGGCGTTGCTATGTCAACCTCATATAGAAACTGGCCAAAGCAGCGAGGACACGCGATATCAGATGGGTTTTCGGAGGCGACTCTGACCGTTCGATGACAATGATAACACCAGTAGAGCTGGTAGATTCTGTTGCCATCGTTGGTCCCTACACGAGGAGGGCTCAAAGACATAACTATGACTGGTGAGCTTCAAACCCCAAATGGGTCTCAACTATTTCTTTCTGGGTTGTGGAAAGAATCAATGAAAAAATGTAAATGGCTGTACATATATGTAAAAACATGTATATATATATATATATTGAGATACAGTAATGGAAGAGAGAATAGAGAGAATAGCTTTTTGGATATGCGGAAAGCTATTCTTTCTCTCTCTCCTAAAGGCAGTTGGCCTTGCCTCATCTTCATACGCTTTGTTTCTTCCTTACAAAGAAAAGGATGAGTGAAGTACTGTGCAAAGGGTGCTATTTAGGAGGTTCTATTGTTGTTCTTTGAAAATTTAAATTGGGAGGGAAAGTAACGGCTAACTTACCCGGGAAGGGAAGTTAAGAAGAATGGGTGCATTGGTTGTCATGGTCGCAACATGATCGACGAAATGTCTGAAAGATATGTGGGTTTTGATCGAGTGGTTTGGTTAATTACGCGAGAAGGGAAAATTGTAAGATGGGGCTTTTTCTGTAATAATTCTTGAAAAGTGAAAACCGAGTAAAATAATACCACTGCAGTAATAATAATAATATAAAAAAATTCATATAAAACATTTTTCTATTTTTAAAAATTATTTTCTATGTTCTCTATTATATGTCTGAAAATCCAAAGGTCAAAATATGCGCGAGACAATAGATTGTAGAATAAAATTTGTAGTGGTGCATTTATGTTGCAAAGCCTTGTAGTTTGAGATGCAACTCTGTGGGATTGGACAGATTTGAAGTATAACTTGACCATGTTTGGGCTTGGATAGCTTGTCACAGTTATAAAAGAAAAAAAAAAAAATTAAAAATAGAAAATTAATTTTTCTTTTTTTAGAGAATTATAAGAGACAATTATTTGAAAATAAATTTTTTTATTTATTTTTAAACTAGATTTCATAAAACAATTCTCAAAAATTATCAAGCAAGGATACTTTTCTATTTCGAATTAAAAAGTGGAGTTAATTTGATGTCCATATAGCCAATCACTACATTAAAATTTTAATGTGTTTCATATTAGATTATTCCTAATCAACTACAATAAATTAAGTTTTAAGATTTAAACAAGGGAAATTGAAATGAGAAATGTAATCATAATTGAATATTATATATAATATTTTTATAATAAAAAATATAAAATTAGAAGCTCGGGTTGGGCTTGGGTTGCTAGTACGTCAACCCAAGTCTAAGCCGAATAAAGTTTGAATATAAATTTTCAATTCTGGTCCAACTCTAATTTGTAAAAATAATTGTTCAAGTCCGTAAAAAAAATGGGCTGAAGTTGAATTGAGTTTGAGTTAGTCCAACCAAATTACACCCTTACATCATATGAGGATGAAGATGAATGTGAATATTAAACAATGCATAAAAGGGGCTCAATTTTAAAAAATAAAAATAAAAATAAAAAAATCAACTAACATTGATATAACATGAAAAAAAAAAAAAAATTAAAAAGAAAAAATGAAATAAAATTGAGATATATTTGAAAGAAAAAAAATAAATTAGAATATGATTCAAAAGGGGAAATTTGACTTTTTTTAGAAGAAATTTAAGGAATTTAAAAAATAAAAGAAAGAAAAAGTTATGATAATTTTAGAAATTAAAAATTTAGGGTGGCACAATATATAATTTTTCATATATACTAAAAAAAAATTACAAATTAACTATATATATTCTATTGGGCGGGGCCAGGTCAGGGGCACGTGCCCCTCCAGTCCTTAATTGGTTCCGTCCCTAATCCTGACTAAAGTCCAGCAGTTTACTGCTCGTTTGGTTTGGATTTGACCACGTACCTATATTATATTAGATATAACAAGAGTTATTTGTTCCACATTAGATTCAGATAGGAAAGTGATTGGGTATAAATGAATAGATATACAGCACTACCCAACAGCTTGAATTTTTAGGTAAATAGACAAGCGTCCACCTGTTATAGTTGGTACCAGAGTCACACCCAGTCCTTGATCCGGTGTCACGCTAAGCGCTTGGCCCGGAAGGAAGGGGGATATGGGGGTGGCTATAGCCCCCCTAATATTTTGGAATTTTTTTTAGTATAAGTAAAAATAAAAATAATATAGCATGTATGGTATAAAATCTATATTTGGCTCCTCTCAGAAAAAAAAAAAAAAAAAAAAAAAATCATTCTTAATTAGCATTTAACAAAAGATAGTTTATATATAATCTAAAAGAAAGTGATTTAATTGACGACTGTAGAATCCCATAAAAACTGACTCACATAAAAATTTAATGCGGCTATCTTAAAATTTTAACTCAACCACCGTTCTTTCCATAACGCGACTATTTTAAAATCCTTCCAACTCAAGCACAATTCTTTTCATAACTTTATTATCCTAAGGAATCACTTTTTTCTCATCGATGTAGATAATTTTTATGCACACTGCAATCCAGGTTAATTTCAAAGTTTATTTTTTATTTTTTTATTTTTTTTTCTCTATATATAAATTTTGATTGTATATATGTATTTGTGTGTCTATTTTTATTTTTTAGCTTTCTTAAATTTGGATTTTTTTTTAGCTTTCTTAAATTTTGTATGTATGTATGTATTTTTGAGTGGGTATGTGTCCTTTCCTTTTTTTTTTTTTCTTTTTTTTTTTTTTTTTTAAGATTAGATTAATTAGTTATGATTTTCTTAATCTCTAGAAAAGTTGAATTTCTCAAAATTTTACTTGGTATATTGTTATATTGATTTTTAGTTTATAAGAATACATAACATTCTTTCCGATCCAATATATGCATTTTTCAATATTAATACTGTAGTATAGTTTTGTTTTGCATCTCAAATAAGTTTCTAAAAAAGTAATAATGTTTATTTATCACTTTTTTTTATTATTAATTTGTGCAAGTATTACATGATTTTTTTTTTATTTATAATTTTGGTATAAATCTTATTTGTGTTTGTTCAAAAAGTTTGATAAAAAGTTTCTTTAAATAACTAGTTTTTTAATTTAAATAAATTGGCAAAAGTTTAAATAGATACATTTTTGTATGAATATAATAAATAGTAAAATATTTTTGCCTACGTAATAATTTTTTTTTTTTTTTTTTCCAAAAGTTCTAGCTAGGTAATGTTATTTATAATTTTAACCCTTCCAACCTCAAGATCCTGGCTCCGCTCCTACCCGAAGGCGCCCAGGTTTGCTGCCCAGGAAGGCAAAGTGGCCCTAGCCGCAACGAGGACATTGCGAGTTTAGGTGGGGAAGAATATAACAAGGATCATTTGTCTTACATTGAATCCGAATGAAAAAGTGATTGAATATAAATAAGTAAATATGCAACACTACCCGCCCACCCGTTACATTAGACTTATTTACATTTCACCCAACTTATTGTTTTTTAAAAACACAAGCCCCATCTTAAATGAGGTTCATTTCAAGACAAATATCCAACACTCATTGGAATCCTACTGTTCGCCCAGTTATTGTAAGGCCTGGCCCGTTATCAGAAGCAAGAGGGATCGGGCCTGTCCAAAATAGTGGGTCGTGCCCACCCATTAAGAAACGTTCATCTTGAGTGCATTAGTTTATTATGTCCCAGGCTCCCCATGTGATCCCTTATAACAATATTTATATATATATATATAATAACAGTCTATGTCTGGACTCTAAATTGTAAAAAAAATATTTTTATTAGTAAATTTTAATCCACCATATGTATAACATGATCATCAGCTCATTCGTTTTAAAATATGTTTGAAGTCATATTAAATTACTGTAATTGGCTAAAATATGTAGTCATATTAATATGATGAAAGAAGGCATGATAATTATATGGTGAATTGTACTGGGCTTATTATAATATGATTCATATCATATTGCATGAATGAAGGCTTGATATAGTATGATTGTTACTGATTATAACGTTAATTTAGAGGATACCCTTAAAGATATATTTCATGAATCAGTATAAAATTTATCCTTTAAGATATTGGAGAAAACTATCGAAAAGAATAATAATGTTAAAAAATTTATTCATTATTATATAATCTTCCGTGCCTGCAACAACCCTGTATATAGTATGGTTATCACATCGATGAACCTTCCACAGATTAGGTGTTATTAGCGAAAATATGTTTATCTTTTATTTAAATTTTACCATGGTAATTCTCCTCCTAATTAAATAGTTCACAAATTAGGTGTTATTAGCAAAAATATGTTTATCTTTTATTTAAATTTTACCATCATAATTCTCCTCCTAATTAAATAGTTCTAATGTTAATGTGGGAGCAACTAGCTTAATTGACTATTATATTTTTTTTAAGTTTATATATATATCTAAAATAAAAAATATATATATTCCATAGATTTGTAGTACAATTCTAATGAACTCAGTTGGTAAAAATTTAAAATAATCAAGATACTGGGAGAGGGTGAAGTTGTTTATATATGGAATGAAATTGAATCAAATAATAAAATGTGGCAAGGAACCTATATCCCATTACCTATTTATCATTTCATATGTTTGTGAGCTATCATTACTAAATTATCCACTTCAAAGGGCTTCATATTTTCCACTTCTCTTTTGCTGCTGATGTACTCATGTTGTGTCATGGGGACTTTAATTAAGCTAAAGTACTTAAAAGAGTCCCTTGCTAATGTACTCATGTTGTGTCATGGGGACTTTAATTAAGCTAAAGTCCTTAAAGAGAGTCCCTTGACACCTTCAATAAAATCTCTGTTCTTACCCCTAACTGGAGTAAAAGCAACATCTTTTTTAGTGGAGTTTTTGTTGAAGTTTTCTTTTGACAATTAGCTCCCCGTGTGGACCTTTATACCAGGTATTTACTCAAACTCAAATCATGGACAGGGATGGTGCATCAACAAGCTCATGAAAGTGTCTCAACTCCTTTCTAACAACCAATGGAATTGGCCCAGAAACTTGGTTAACTTGGTTAACCTAATGCAGTGGACAACCTCACCAACAAAAAAATACCCACTCGAACACACCATCAGACCGATCTCCAATCCACTCCTTACAAGTTTGGCACAAACTGGTCTGGTTTAAACACCTAATTCTAAAGCACTCATTCTGTTTATGGATTGTATTTCAGGGTAAATTATCTATGCGAGACAGATCATCAATGGATTTTACAATGCAACCAAATGTGAGTGTGAGTTCATTGTGTCTCAATGATGCAGAGAGTCATGAACACATCTTTTATAACTGGACATATGCGAAGTCAATTTGGAATAGGCTACAACAAAAATGTTGGTTCTTTTTAAACCCTAATACATGGTACTTACTTAGAAGTTCACGCTGGCAAGTTTTGTGTACCACATCTGGAGTAAACGTAACAACATGATCTTTCGCAACAAAAGTGCGAATCCAATTCAGACCTTCAATGCAATTGTCAATACAGTGAGATTCAAGTTGTTCTCCATCAAGAAATGCTCTTATGCTGAGGAGATAACAATGGAATGGAATCTACCCACCTCTTTCTATGACTTGACCCAATCAAACCCTTTTTTCACCATCCCACAAATCCCACAACCACTGCCATAACCATAACCTTAGCTAGGGGTGCACCCTGGGTTGTGTAACCCCAACCCAT